TACCATGTATACGTCGTGACACGTGACGTCCTACACTCTCCCGGTGCGAGAGAAAGAAGAGAACACACACGGCGAGCAGGCAGGTAGCTCCGCGAGCGCGATATTAAGCCGGATCAATAAAATGACTTATCCCTGTTGCTGCACGTCGTGTGCACGACGTGCGGCATGACGTTTCCCATCTGGAAATGCGCGATGATCCGACGACGTCGACCGGGAAATGTGTCGAGGGGTGAATTTTCTCTCCACGAGGGGATGTTCGACGTTCCCCGGAGAGAGACGTCAAAACTCCGCACGGCTATCATCGGTCTATACGCGCGTGAGTTCCGGACAGCCGCTACACAGATGCTGTCCAATTTGATCTTAATTATAAAGGAAAGAAAGAGCGTTCCTTTGCCGATAAGAGAAACGATTTCTCTCTCCCCGTTACTTTTGCCACAATATTCTGATTTTTAACGTCGGTACATTGTGACTGAGCTACGAAGATTACATTTAGATCCTATTAAAGTTAGAACCACTTGAGATTTCATCTACCTTCTCTCTTTCTCTTAGAGCTCGGTCTGTTAAAAAGTTTTTCCCTTTTTTTCTTACGTGATGCTACTTACACACCTAATATTGTGTACTCGTGTGATTAAGGTTTTAAATTAAAACGCCATTAAAAGCCCGCTTAGAAATTAATTAAAGAATATTCTTTTATTACCTGTCCTCCTTCTTTCTCTCCCCCGAAGCAGTTAGTCGATCAAAGTCTTAATTTCAGTCTGCCGCATAATTATAATTATTATTCGTTATTATTAGCATCTGAATTCTCGGAATTACACAGAAGCTGTAGACACATCGACGTTTTCGCTGAGAAAGGGATTCCGGAAAAGAATCCGCAATAAAAAGAACCGCTTTCCGCATAGAAGGTATTGAATAATTTATATCTATCGCTGCGGCAGAAAAAGCGCATCAAATTTAAAATACAAACATGACAAATAAAATTGAACACTTCTACATCCAGGCGTCTTGCTGCAGCTGGGGCCGTTTTACGTCTCTATTTTCTTCCGTAACAAGAAAGGCAAGTGATGGATTTGGATTTGTAAACGCTCGGTTCTCTCGACAACCGACGAGTGTACTTTCTTTTCTTACGGATATCCATTTGCTTCTGCAATATAGTATCGCGCTTTTCTCAACAATATTTCTCTTCGATATTGTATTTTAGTTTCTGCAGAAATAGTCAATAATCGCCTCAGCCGATGACGCTTGACGTCGCCGTGTCAAAACTAAACTTTTTTCCCGCGACCGGGAGTGTCATCGGTTAGACAAGAGAAATTCTCGACCCCGCCAACGACATGTCGGACACTCCAAAGTAAGAGGGAACGAGAGAAAGAGAGAAAGAGAGAGAGAGACTACAAGAGAAAAATCTTAATGACGTCGTCTGCGGGGAGAAACGCTCTTCACTCGGCTCTCGGCTGCCGACCGAGAGTGGCGAGAGTGGAAAATGGTCGCCCCTCGAGATGCCGCGAAAAAGCCGACTCGTGCTTCTTTTTTTATCCCAGAAAATTTCACTCGAGGATCCCCGACCACGGTTCTCCTTTCTCTTCCCCTTACTCTCTTAGGACTCGCAGATTCACGGGAGACGAGAAGTCGCGCGAAAATCGCAGACTCGTAACACGGCACTGCGTGGCGGAGAGAGCGGCGAACGCGCGCTTTCTCGACAGAGGGAGAGAGAGAGAGAGAGAGAAAGGGAGAGAAAGAGAGGGACGACGGGTGGAACCGAGCGGAACCGAGAGCGAAACGGCGGGGTTGAGGGATGAGAAGGGAAAGAGGGTGGTATCGCTCGAGAAGGGGGTGGTTCGGTGGTGGCCCGCTCGCTCGGTGGCCCGTTCGGCCAGTCGTGCTGTGGCGGCTGCAATCGCGACGTCACCCCCGCTCTTTCGAGCTCGCTGTCGCGCGAGATACGACATCCCCCGCGGGGACGCGAGTAGACGATCATCCACGCGAGAGCGAGGGATAAAAAGTCCTCTCCCTAGCCTTCTCTCTCGTCTCGTTTGCTTGTCCGACCGATCGCCACTGCGAAGGGATTAAAAGTGAGACGGAAGGGTGTCTCCGAGTTACATCGAGCCGCTGGAAACGATCTTTTCTCTCTCTTTCTCTCTTGCCCTTCTCTCTTTTTCTCTCATTCCCGATTCTAAGAATCCATCCGCTGAATCCTTGCGGCTCGGGATTCGCGAAATTCCGAGGTATATAATCTGCGAAAATCGTGATGAGCTTTCGCTTCCTGTTTAGTTTCGACATTCGCGGAGTGTCGAGGAGCGTGTTTTTCCTCACCGATGCGAACGTTCGCGGAAAAGATCCGCGCGATTCCGCGAGATCGCGACGAGGGCGAAAAACAGGAAAAGCGACGTTAAGGGATGTCCGTCCTCTTTGGATTCAGAGTGACGAATAAGAATCTTCGAATCTGATCTCGTCCATCCGATCAACGCCCAACAATGACGACGTGCACGTAGCTCGAGACCCGCGGAATGACTCGCCGAATCGCGAGAACGATGACAAAACGCCGATCACGAGACGTCCGACTTCCCACGCACCGTCGCGTCGTCGAGTCGAAGTATTCGCGGGAATGCGATAAGACAGCGCGATAAAAGAGAGAGAGAGAGAGAGAGAGAGAGAGAGAGAGAGAGAGAGAGAGAGAGAGAGAGAGAGAGAGAGAGAGAGAGGACTTTCCGGATTCTTCACCGGTAGACGCGAGTCGCGTGTCGGGAGGGGGGATTTTACGCGGGCAACCCCCGCGCGGAGAGAGTGAAAGACGAAACAAACGAGAGGGAAAGTCGGAGGGATCGGGATACGTGCTTCGTAAGGCAGGCAGGCAGCGCGAGCGAGGAGTTGTCCGGTTGTTTCTCGCCTTGCGAGAGGATCGATCGCGGCTAATTAGTCGGACGACGCGGACCGGTGGCAAAGGTGCGCGCGGGGTACGCGGCGGCGATTTCGATCTGCGACCTTTAAACGATCGCGGGGAGATCGTTCGGGAGGACGAATCGATTTTGGATCGACGAAGGACGGGGGGGATTTTGCCCGCCGACGTGCGACGGGCGGACTCGAAGAGAGCCATTCGAGACGATTCGTTTGTTGAAGAATTGGTTTATCCTGTTGAGACTGCACGAGCGACAAAAGCCGACGGGAGGATCTATCGCCCTGAATTCCCACTGGATCCCCTGGAACGGATCGATGCTGTTATCACGACGGAGAATTTCACCGAGGCGTGGCGATTATCGGTACGTACAGCCGTGCGATAAAAACTTCGTTAAGTTACAAAGGAAATTATCTAGTTAGTTGTCGGAGGCGCAAATTTTTTTAAAACGTTTCAGCTAGGAAATAATGTTACATGTTTGTTAAACTCTTATGTTTTGTTAATTCTCTCTTTTTATCACATAGAAGTGAATATATTATATATTTTAAATCAAATATAAAAGTTACAAGAGTGAATTTTATTAAAAACATTTTGTCGAGTTGTAAGAAAGTCGAAATTAGAAATTATTTTTTATCAATTTTATCTTATTAATTTATATTTACGTATTATATACTTTATATTAAGCGTTTAAATCGTAAAATTAAATTATATATTTTTTAATCTTTTATGTTATATGATGTGAGTTTCGATATTGAATTAATATCGATGATCTTTTATCTATTTTCGAGGGTAAAGATCTAATTGTTAATAAAAAAACCATCGAGGCGTAAAAATGAGAAACAGTAGAGGCCGGTACAAGTCGAAGGTTTGGACAGAGAATTGATTCATTATTCTTTTAAAGATAAAAGAATCGAAACGTCCCTATTACACATATAGTAATCCTTCGTATACTTCGCTTTGTCTACGCTTCGATTGAATTTTTCGCATCTTCATTGATTCGTTTGTTTGTCTCGTATTGACCTCTATTATTTCTTTTTTTCTACGATTCTTAACCTTTTCCCGCATAAAAGGCAAACAGCGATACTGGAAAACATCATAAAAGAGCTAATTATTTTACATCGAGTCTTTTTGTTAAATATGAAACTTGTGTATACCACGGAAATTTGCCAGGGAGACATATGTGATATAAATATTATTGTATTTACTGCAGGATTTTTTTTTATGTTTATAACATGAAAATAATATCGCGAGAGGAAATTGTGTGTAAAAGAAAGACACGTGTCGCCGCATTGGACGTCGCGCGACGCATTAAACTCCGCTTTTTAATTAGCTAAATGAGGCGAGTCGCCGCGCCGGGCGGGCGTTTTTTTCCACCGCGCTGCTATCGCGATCGCGATTTGTGTGTTGAAGATGTTGGAAATTATTAAAGACGCCCGTCGATTAGCGGCGATGCACGATGGAAGCGAACGGCCGGAAGCAATCTGGGCGCTCGATTCCGCCGTCCTCCCTCCCCGGCGCTCGTTATTTCCACGCAGTTATTCCCCCGAAAAGAGAATGGCGAAGGAAAAACTTCCTGTTTTTCCCGATCCCTCTGCCCCCTTCATCCCTTCTCGCGCGCCACGCGCCTCGATAAGTCGGACAATTATTCAGGATTATTCGGGCAATCTCGAAGCGATTCGCGATATTACCGGTGTTTACATAATCACGCCCTTGTGTTTGCGAGCTATTTCCACGCGGTTACAACTTCCCCCCTTCGCCCTCGCCGAACGCGAGAGGAATGAGCTTTCCTCCTACTCGGCCCTCTTCTCCGTCCTCTCCCCCCTCCCTCCATGCGTTTCATCGACGGGTCGAATGGTACCGGGATTACCGGGGCGATCCCGATTGAGATTCGCGATATTACGCGTGTTTACACAATCACGCCCTCGCGCTCGCGCGTTATTTCCACCCTGCGGGGAACGAGAGGAACGTATAAGAGAGAGAGAGAGAGAGAGGGAGGAGAGGAGAAACGACCCGTTCTCCCGTTTTCGTTCGAGTCAAACGGGATTACGGGGATTACGGTGGCAATCTCGAGATATACGTGTATATACACATTTTCGCGATATACCCGTATTTATATGTATATATTCGCGCCCTTGCCCTTGCCCGATCCTCGCCCACGCTGCCACTCCTCTCCATCTTCGCCACCCCCGTCGCGCCCTTCTCCCCCCTCCCATCCCCGTCAATATGCGCTCCGACATGCCGATGCGCCCGCACATACATATACGCCCTGCATGCAGGACGTAGCACGCATTAGCAGTTTCCCGAGCAATCACGGGCCGGAAGTCGTCGGCGAAATTATTAGTCCGAAAAGCGGATGCGCGATATAGGCGGGCGAGAGGCCGATACGAGTTCTCTGTCTATGGCGCAGTCCGCTCGCTCGAAAGCCGCCTTCATCGCACCGCCGATAATTTTCCCCTCCCAGGAGGGGAGATTCCGCTCTCCCTCTCGTTCTCTCAACCCTCTCGCGGCATGACCATTCGTTTCCGGGAAAGTTTAGACGGATCGCGCAACGACGTACTCTTTTAACGTTATACGCGATCGTCTGTAATAAACAAATCGAGTAAATCGGGATCTCACAAGGGAAGACTCAGGACTCCAGCTCCGCCAATTTCGATGAAACCTGGCAGGATTACATAGAAAGTTTCCGCGAATGTAATGGTATTCCTATTTGGTCGACCGTTTTCGAGATATTTTAATAATAAATTTAGTGCAATGGCGTCTTTAGAGTAGAGTTTATTAGAATTATTTCATTTATACGTCATTTTATATCTCATGACTATTTATATTTTATAATTTATATAATATAGATTTTTTATGTTAAAATTTAAAGTAATTTATTTTTTATATCAACAATAATTATTTTCATCATAAAACATTATTATATAAAAAAAATCAAATGATTGCAGGATTTAAATGACTCGAGTCTACAATACCATATTCACTATGTCACAAATACTCGTCTGTGAGTATTCTAATGAACTCTACTCTATAAAGATGCCACTAAATTTATTATTAAAATATCTCGGGAACGGTTGACTGTCGACACCCAAATAAAGGTATCATTAAATTTAGGGGAACTTTTTCTGTAAACCTGCCAAGTTTCATCAAAATCGGCCAAGTTCAGAGCTCCGAGCCTTCCCTTGTCAGTTCCATTCGATCGTTTGTGGAATTTTGCAGGATTGTCGCGAAACCCACGACTCTGGCCCTTACACGACCGCCCTTATCTTGAGAAGGACGTAAATGGGGAAGAACAGAAGCAGCGAAGCGGTCGCGCCTCGTCGCCGTCGTCCTCGAACTGGGTCGTCGTCGCTTTGAAATTCAAAACAAGACTACGCCGATATGCCATCTCGGATTTAAAGCCGGATTCGCCGTTATCTCATGCTCGTTAGACTCGGTGAAATTAAATCCGTGTAACGAGTCGGAAATTCACCTGAGGAAAAAAAAACGATAGGGAAAGCGAGATAAAAGTAATATCCTGGAAGACAGAAGACGAAGGGAAGGGACAGTCGCGTGTCCGGGGAAGGGGGAAGGAGGATTATTCTATAACGACGACGGAAGAAGAAGAGCCGGAAATTCAACGGAACCCTAGCTCGAGGAGGAGGAGGAGGAGGAGAAGGAGGGAGGTTCTCGATGGCCATGAGGACGTTAAGGCCGACGACGACGACGACACCGAGGCTGGAAACGACGTCGAGCGATCTTTCCGGCACCTGAGTTCGCCCGATACCTTCGCCCATTCCGATTCCGGAACAACCGTTCATTGGAACAACTAGGATTCACGATAATCGCATCGGACGCTTTAAGGCCTTCCTTGGAAGAGTTCCGGAGAAAATTCCGTGCTCGTCGCTTGCCCATTTTCTCGAACCGAACTCTAGTATTTGTTCAGAGAATAAAGCGGAGACGAGAGAGGGAGAGAGAGAGGAAAAAGAAATCGCTGCGGGGAAAACTCAGGCAGAGATAATATACAACGTGAGGAATCCGAGGAACGCCCGAGGCGACTCGTGAAAGACGGGCTCGACGCACACTCTCGGGATTTATTGGTTCTTTATCGTCTGTACTTTCCCCCGAAGGGATGCCTAACGCGAAAAAGCGCGTCCGATCGGTCGAACGACGATCGAAGGACGATCAAAAAGCTCGCGGTCAGTGGTGCGCGAATACCGGGATCGCTGGCGGGGAATCCGGTGTTTTAGTTTTTTCCCCGCGCGAATCGAAGAAGCGTCTTCCTACGTGTTGACCGGGATCTTGCTAGCGGGGAGTGTGGTAAATATTCCTAATCTCGAAATTCCAAGGGACCCCGGCTGTAATCGAGCAATTAATACCGTCAATTCAATGTTAGGGAAATAATTTATCTGCTTGTTAACGAGAGGAGAACAGTGTGCCGATCGATCGCGAAAATGCAGAGAGAATCAAGGAGCAGAGGATGGAAAACACTTCGCTTCGAGATAGGCGCTCGGCTCAAGGTAGGAACTTCATCCCGACAGATGTAACGGGCGCGACGGACCAAGGATCCTAGGATTACCTCACGAGAAAACGCGGACTGTCAAGAGCGGCGTGAGACACGGCGCGCAATCAAGGCAGTTAAGATGCACCAGCCTTGGCCGTTGCTGCTGCTGATCTTGACGCTGCAGCGTTTGACGACCCTGTCGATGGTGCAGTTGAGGATGCACAACGAGGCGGTGCTGATACCCGGCGACATCGTCCTGGGCGGACTGTTCCCGGTGCATGAGAAGGGCGGCGGCCCAACCGCGTGCGGGCCCAACATCTATCACCGGGGCGTGCAGCGTCTCGAGGCGATGCTTTTCGCCGTCGATCAGATCAATCAGCAGGACAAGATCTTGCCGGGCGTCTTGCTGGGCGTGCACATCCTCGACACGTGCGGCCGCGATACGTACGCGCTCAATCAGAGCCTGCATTTCGTCCGGGCGTCTCTGTCCAACATCGACATCAGCGTGCTGGAGTGCGCGGACAAGTCGACGCCCAGGGTGAAGAGGACCGCGAGCGCGGGGCCCATTTTCGGGGTCGTAGGCGGCTCCTACAGCTCGGTGTCGTTGCAGGTGGCGAATCTGCTGCGGCTCTTTCACATCCCTCAGATATCGCCAGCTTCCACGGCCAAGGCGCTCAGCGACAAGACCAGGTAGATAAATTCTTCAGTCAAAGTTGGTACACTTTTAAATATTAAATTATTGGCGCAAAAGTTGACTTCTCGAGTAAAGTGGGAAACTGCAGTTCGAAAAGTAAGCTTGCAAATGTCATAGAAGAATATTTCTCTCTTTGGAAGTAACTTAAATTTTTTTTTTGATAGTTGAAAAAGTGATCTTATTTAAGATAGAATTTAATAAGGAATGACAAAAATGACAGGAGAGATAGAAAAACGATAAAACAAGTTTTGTGCCAATCTAATAATCGTAGATTATCTTCAAATCTCCATGAGAGCACGATTAATTAGAAATATATATTTTTTAATGGCTCGTTATCGAGTTATTCGAGTCGTATTTCGCAAAGGTCTGCTTTACAACTTTATATATTTGAACGATCGGTCTATTATACTTCAGAATTCATATAGCTTTCGAATAAACTTTGACTTTTTCATGAAAAATTTATAATCTCCTTTTTCGAAACTTACGTTTGATCAATTATTGATTCGAACAATTTTCGATTTGCCCGATAAGGTCTCAATTATAATTAATGTGAGCATCTGACATTCCCGTCAGATGCTTGTTAGTTTGACATCGTTTGTCGACCTCGCGAGTAATTGCCATAGGAAGATTTCCTACTACTGTTCAAACACTCGTTATGGCTGACTTTGACGAGTACACATTCGCAGAAACGATCATTTAAACGTATATCTCAAGGTTGCACGTTAATTAAAAGTTATCGATTCCCATTACTAATCATTAGTCTCCCAAATATATCTAGAAGATGAATTGTTAGTAATCCAGGATTGATAATAATAGATTCCCATTTAATTAATAATATTAAAACTGTTGGTCTTTCACTTTCTTATTAACGATAGTCTTAAAATTTCTTTCTTACAGTAGAAAAAAATATATAAATAAAAGATAGAGGCACAGAATCACAATAAGATGTTTGTGTCGTAATCTTTAATTAAATTAAATTAAATTAAATTGAAAATTACGAAACAAACATCCTGTTGTAGCTTTATGTCCTCTCTTTTTTATTTATTGATTTCTAATTATTTGAGCCTTCTGAGATTTTTTTTCCGCGAGCGTTATTTAAATATATATATATATATATATAATGCGTATATAGTATAAAAACCAAATAGATTTTTACAACATATAATATAAATTATAAAATAAATAATTCTTCTTCTTCTTAATCGTGTAGTCCGGTGCCGGGCACCGTGATAATGTGTGACAATCTACAATAGCCGTATCTTCTCTTGCTATTCTTCTCTGTTTTCTGCTGTACGGATGCAATCGTATACAGAGGAATCCGTCAGTCCGGCGATCTGATCGACGTATTGCGTTGGTGATCGCCCTCGGGGCCTCCTTCCTTCCACTTTTCCTTGTATTACCAGCCTTTCCAGAGAGTCGTTGTCCCTGTGCATTATATAGCCAAAGTACTGTAGGATGGATCTTTGAATGCTTTTAGTTAGTCTATCTGTGATGTTCAGCTCGTTTAGAATCGATACATTTGTGCGTCTCTCGACCCAGGATACCCTGACCATACGTCTCCATGCAAACATCTCGAAAGCGTCGGCCGCCTTCATTGTCCAGGATTCGGCAGCGTAGGCGATGGGGAATATTTGTGTTTTTACTAGCTTTATTTTTGTTTCTTTGCTTATGCCGCGGTCTTTCTATGTGTTAGTCTTGCGATTGCAGTCTTCCCCATAGCGATTCTTTTTCTTATTTCCGGTTCACAGCTGCCTGTGTTTGTTATTTTTGCGCCCAAGTATATAAAGTCCCTCACGACTCCGATTCCGCCTACATAGTCTGGAAGTAATTGTCCCTCTAATGATCTGTTGATTATCATCATTTTGGTTTTTGCGGTGTTTATTTTCAAGCCCACCTCTTTGTTGACTTCTTCTACTTTGGCAATCAAGGCTGATGTGATTTCTTCTTCTGACTCTCCCAGGAGCGTTATATCGTCCGCATATCGGAGGTTTGATATTTTCCTTCCTCCAACGGTAATTCCGCCGTCCCAGTTGTATGCGGCCTTTCTGATGACCCATTCCCCATACAAGTTGAACAGTATCGGAGAGAGGATGCAACCCTGACGCAGCCCTCTGTGCACTGTGAATCGATCACTTAAGTGACCTTGCACTTTCACCTGTGTCACTGGAGCCTTGTAAAGATTGGCGATAAGGCGGGTGATGTGTTGCGGGGTTCCCATTTCTGTCATGATGCTCCATAAACCATCCCATCTTACCTGATCGAAGGCCTTTTGGTAGTCGACGAAGCACAGATATCCGGATTTGTTAAACTCTCTCAGTTTTTCTATTATCTGTCTGATGTTTAAAATATGTTCCCTTGTGTCTCGCCCCGGCATAAATCCTGCCTGTTCTTAGGGGATCTCCGGGTGGATGTAAGCTTTCAGCCTCTCATGAATGATGTGGAGCAGTATTTTACTTGGATGGGAGATCAGAGCTATTGTGCGGTAGTTAGAGCAGATTGTTGTTGGGCCTTTTTTATGTATGGGTACAAATATGGCTGCCATCCAGTCATCCGGCCATCTCCCAGATTTCCAGATTTTGTTGCACAGGACGTGCAGCAGGTCCACCATATGGGCGCCGCCAACACCGATCATCTCTGCCACAATCTCATCCGCTCCCGCGGATCTTCCCGTTTTCAGTTTCTTAATGGCGGCTTCAACTTCTGATCTTAGTATTTCAGGCTCCTGGTTAGCCATGCTGGGGTATCCCTGAAGGAGTTTCTCTGTTTGATCTTCAAAGAGGGATTGGCAGTACTCTTGCCATCTCTTGCAGATTTTGTTGTGCTCCGTCAAGGTTCGTCCTTGCTCGTCCTGTATATGCTCATCGACTGCGGTTTGAAATCTCGGGTTATCTGTTTGATTTTCTTGAAAAGGAGGTCCCTGGTTTTGTTTCTCTGCTGATGGCCTTCAATCTCCTTACATATCCTTTCCATGTAGCTGTTTTTATCTTTCCGGCATAATCTCTTGATGCGTGCACCTTGTTGGTGGTACGATTGCTGTATTTCCTTCTTGTCTAAGCCTGGAAAATAAATAATATATAGTATAAATTAACATATATAATATAAAAAATATATAATCATATATTTAAATAAAACAAATAAATAATCACATACATTCTGACTGTCTCAAGTCGAATCGAGTGCATTCCCAGTGTTCCGCTGATTCGATCTTCAGGTTCGACTACTTCGCGAGAACGGTACCGCCGGACACCTTCCAGTCGATCGCGCTGGTCGATGTGGTGAAGAGCGCCAACTGGTCGTACGTCTCCACCGTGTACTCTGAGGGTAGTTACGGCGAATACGGGATCGAGGTGTTCACGCGCGAGGCGACCGAGCGTAACGTCTGCATCGCGGCCGCGCTGAAGGTGCCTAGCGCCGCCGACGACAAAGTGTTCGACGACATCATCCAGCGTCTGAGCAAAAAGCCGAACGCCCGCGCGATTGTCCTCTTCACCCGGGCGGAGGACGCCCGCGGCATCCTTGAGGCCGCGAGACGGTCAAACCTCAGCCAGCCGTTTCAGGTCGGTAGCCGGGATAATTATTGTAGAGCCATAGCATCGCTGGTAGCATGGAACCAGCCCTGTATCTCTTCTTATTATTAGTTTATAGCTATCGAGCAATCGAGAGATGTTAAATTCAAAAACAAAAATAGTTTAATAACTATTAAATATACTTTTCGATCTACATACAGAGTCTTATTCGACTATTAAATAATAAATATAATAAATTAAATATTTAAAACAAGGAACGCGCATAGTGCAGAGAATAAAAAGTAAATAAGAAACGCGGAAATAAGTCAGATAAACATCGAGGATAAAAGAAAGCTATCGTTTTCTCCAAACGTTCGCTATTTCTTGTGCAGGGTCTTCGTATTGCCAGCAAGTTGTTTTCCGAAGCGTATCGAAATTGTTTTGAAGCTTGTCTCGCGGTTTTTTTTCCTTGAAATAAAATTTCTATGAAAACTCAGTTTTTCATCTTCGTCATTGTTACTATTGTGCTGAAATAAAAACGGGGTTTCGGTGATTTTTGCGCTCTAAAAATTCCTCAAACAACGACTCGAATGTCACAGTGGCTGGCCAGCGATGGCTGGGGCCGGCAGGGCAAGCTGGTCGAGGGTCTCGAGGAAGAGGCCGAAGGCGCGATCACCGTCGAGCTGCAATCGGAAAACATCCCCGAATTCGACAGTTACATGGGATCGCTCACCCCCGAGAACAATCGGCGGAATCCGTGGTTCGGCGAGTACTGGGAGGAGGTGTTCGGCTGCACTCTGCGGAGAGACACGGCGGCCTACGAGCGTCTCGGCCCGCAGGTCGGATGGAGGACCGGCATCGGCAATCAGAGCTGCCGTCCCGAGCTCAGGCTCAACGCGGCGAGCGGCTACGAGCAGGAGTCCAAGGTGCAATTTGTCGTGGACGCGGTCTACGCGTTCGCCCTCGCGCTCAACAAGCTGCGCCACGACCTGTGCGGGCACAGAAAAGGCATATGCTCGTCAATGGCCAACTACGACCGCGGCGCGTTCTATAAGAATTATCTGCTGAACGTGTCCTTTGTAGGTGAGTATCGATGACGGCGCGCGTCGTCTTCCGCACAAAACGGGAATAATCGTGACGGCGCGACGCGCCGTTTGTTCGCCTCTTTTGTACTTCTTTTTTCTTTTCTTTCCTCCCCTCTGTCTCTTCTCCTTCGTTCGTCTTACACCCTTTCGTTCCAAGGGTGCCTGAAGAACCGCCGGGAAGGGTGGGCGGGAGAAGAGGGTACGCTAAAGAAATGCTCGATGAAATAGCGTTGGATGGGATAATCGGCGAAACGATCGATCGAGAAGAATTGAATCCTGTCGGCTTCATGAAAAGTGAGAATCTTTCAAAAATAGAGTGCTGTCAAATCGAATTTGAGAGTTATTCACATTGCATCTTCCCGTCCGCGCACGCGTGACGTTTCTTGTTTCATTTTTCAGTCTTTGTTTCGGGATATTATTAAGCTTCCGTTGAACAATATTATTACACGAGAGAGCTGTCGTCATCGAAGTTAAACCGGTAACTCTTAAAGGCTACACTTCAAGTCTCAACCACTTGAGGCTACACTGTCCATATACATGGACCTCGGAACTTTGATCGCCGCGTATAACTTCGGGTTTAGTTAACCAAATTTAAAAGAGTTATATATGTAATAGGGGTAGAAAAGACTGAAGAATATAATAGAAGTAGAAAAATTGCCAATAATATAATTAATATTGCCAATAATTAAATTGTCCGAAAACATCAATTTTTGAAGACGTGCACGTAACATGAATAAGCGTTGAAATAAACTCTAGGTTCATGTATAGACTTATTGTTAATAGCTTTTATGGATTAATTTGCGGCTGAATGTCTCGCCTCGGGGCTCGCGGCCGCGACGGAAATTTGCAGCCATTTCGAGTTATTTTGCAGACGCCGCCGGCAGCTTGGTGAAATTCGACGAGCACGGAGATGGCCTGGCGCGATACGAAATCCTCAATTTTCGCAAGGGGACGAACAACAATGGCGCGAATGGCTATCACTATCGGGTAAGGCTCATTCCGAGCGCTCTAATTATTGTTACGCGCTATTATACCCATCGCCGATGCATAATTGAACGAACTCTCTGCCCGCCGAGAGCGATAAATTCAATTGGAACTCCCCAGGAAGTCGCCCCCCTCCCTTCACCTCTCGCTTTCGCAAACTTTAGTTTTCATCATCGCTCCGCTAATACGCGGACAAGGTAGCGCTCGAGATTTTCCGATGAAAATCCCCTGGAGATAAGTTCTATAACGCACCTGATTTGAATTTGAACAAAATGGCAAAACAAAGTGCTGAATTTTATTTAAATGGAATTTTAGTCTGGAAATTGCAAAGTCGGTATAAAAAATGCACTGATGCTTCTCGGTTTTCATGGAATTTTAATTCCCATTGTTACTCGTTAACACGAATGAAGCAGCGCACATTTTCCGATTATCGAGCAATCTGAGAATGTTTGAATTTTGTGCTCAAACATTGCAGTCGTTTGAACACCTTGGAGATGGGATTTAACGAACCTGATTTGTGTGAATTCGGACAAAATGGCAAAACAGAGTGTCTAATTTTATTTTAATAAATTTTTTGTCTGGAGATTGTAAAGTTGATATGAAAAATGCTGCACTGATACCCTTCGGTTTTCGCGAATTTTAATTCTCATCGTCACTTGTTAACACATGCACGAAGCACCGCATGACATTTTCCGATGATCGACCAATTTGAAAGTGTTTGAATTGCATGCTCAAATATTACAGTCGTTTGAAGATAGATTTTAACGAACCCAATTTGAATTCGGACGAAAAAGGGCAAAATAGTATTTAATTTTACCTTATAATTTTTATCTAGAAATTGTAAAGCCGACATAAAAAATGCTGCATCAACATTTCTCGGTTTTCGAACTTTAACATTATCACTCAGAGATCAATAGAGGTTTTCCGGTGGTCGAGTAATCTGTGTGAACAGCGTTCGAACTTCGAACTTTGCAATCGTTAATGATTGAACTCTTGATGATAGGGTCTAACAAGCCTTATCCAGATTCGAGCAAAATTGCAAAGCAAAGTGTCCATCTTTATTTTAAGAGTGTTTAAGTTGGAGCTTTAAATTGCGAAGCCAATGCCAAAAATGCTGCCCCGACATTTTTCGCTGTTATACAACAGGTCGAAATAAAATTCTCGACAGCTACAAACGTCGCGTGTTTCTAGCGTAATCACGGTTGTCAAATCGGGAAACTACCGCTATTTATTTACTCGTCACGCTATTTATTTTTTTGAATACCACTGTCTACAACGTCGAGCTCGTTAATACGCCGTGTAAAGTCGGCGCGATCGATGTGACGCGACACGGAATCGGGCGAAGCGAGTGCGCAAAGAAGTGGCTCTGTCTTTTTAACGAGTAATTAAAGTTGCCCGACGGCTGTACTTTCGAGAGTCTGCGAGCTTCCGGGAAACCGCTTTTGCCCGGGGTAGCCGAGGTAAAATGAAACCCTCGAGCTAAAAATAATATAACGGTGTTTATAGAGAACGAGAAAATTAAAAGTTAATGAAGCAATAAAATTGACGTTAAAAATATAATTCAAATTAAATCAATTGGACTGATAATTAATAATTGAACAATTTGCGATAATAAAGAGCATTTGAAAAATAAGTTATTCATAGTTTTATTGTTGCTTAATTTACAAATTAAGCAACGTAAATCCATATAAAAATGCAATTTAAAAGAAAATTACGCAAACGTGGATAAAATAGAGAAAGAACTTTAAAAATCTTTATTTTAAAATACGGATAAAATGTGGAAGAAATTTTAGAATCATTCTCTCCTTCTCTCTTTATTTATCTATCTATTTTTCTCTCGCGCGCGATTAACTGGCAGCCGACGGAAAATTTGACTGGCTTCGAAATCGCGAAACGAGACATTTGCGCCTGCGGGGGTTCAGCTGGCGGGTCAACCATGTGCCAAATCTCTGGTCGACAGGTGGTGGGCAAATGGTACAACTCCCTGGACATCCGTACGGAGGAGATGGTGTGGGCGCGGGGGACGAAGGATATACCGATCTCCGCGTGCTCGTTGCCCTGCGAGCCAGGTATGATAAAGAAGCAACAGGGTGACACTTGTTGCTGGGTGTGCGACCAATGCGAGGCGTACGAGTTTGTTTACGACGAGCACACCTGCATGGACTGCGGCCCGGGCTTCTGGCCGCATCCTGACAAACGAGGGTGCTATCAGTTACCGGTCCATCATATCAGGTATACGCACACGCGTCTTTCCTCGACATTCCGACGCTGAGAATCATTGAGAGATATCGCGGAATGTTAATCCTATATAGGATTAATAGAAACGATCGCAGAATTCGGGATAAAAGAAAAACTAGAGATAAATTTAGTTTGAGGGTTTATGGTTTATAGCTTTAAAGATTATAAAAAAAAGAATTTTATTTTATTCTTTAAAAATTTTAAGAGTTGTACATATAATAAGTAGATATAATTATATAAGTACATATAATAAGTAAATTCGTTTTATGCAAAAGCGTTCTGTAAAACTTTGACGGATTTCGATGGACTTTATTTAGCGACGACCCAATAAAAACTTTAAAAGAGAATTATATTTATAAATCATTGTATATATTCATTATTATTTATTTTAACAAAGTTTAAATTGCTTTTCCCATAATTGGCGGATATAACATATTGTTTATCGTACACTCGTTATTATTTATGTTGTTGAAGTTTAAAATAAAATTTTAAAATAAAATTATTAAATTGGCCAAAAATAGATTGTTTATCGCACACTCATTATTATTTATGTTATTAGTTTAAAATAAAATTGCTTTCCCAGAGTTGAGTGTTGTCCGATAGATTGAAAGAGAATTCATTATCACTGAAATTCGCAGCATTATTATTTATTTTTCCAAAAATGGGCGTTGGTTAACAAAAAGAGATTATACTAATTAAATAAACGTGGTTTGCACGTTTACTTCCTTTCGTTAGGTGGAGCAGCGCCTTCGCCATCGCACCTGCGGTAATATCCTGCCTAGGAATCGTGGCGACCCTGGCGGTGGCGTGCTTGCTCTTCCATCACCGCGACACCCCGGTGGTCCGCGCCTCCGGACGAGAACTCACCGTGATCCTGCTGGCGGGCGTGCTGGTGTGTTACCTGAACACCTTCCTGCTCCTCGCCACGCCGACCACGGCGACCTGCGTCCTCCAGCGCTTCGGCGTCGGCGTGAGCTTCAGCGCCGTGTACGGCGCCCTGCTCACCAAGACCAACCGGATCGCCAGGATCTTCGACTCGGCCTCGAGGTCCGCCGTCAGACCGCGGTACATCAGCCCCACGTCACAGGTCTGCATAGCGGCCGCGCTGATCGCCTTCCAAGTAAGTGGATTCAGGTCCCGATTGTAGGGGAACGAAGTTCCCATTTCGAACCAAGTGCTTCTCATTTACGTATCTAATTTTTAATAATCTTGAATAAAAAAGATAGATCCGTAATCTTCGAAAATATCTAGTATACTTATAATAATTAGAGGTATTCTAAAATATGGTTCAAAATAGACACTTTGTCCCGTTCTCACGCGTTTCTTTTCATCAAGACAAAGAGAGAGACGGTTTCTTTTCGATTCCCGAGGTGGTGCTGACGCTGGTTTGGATGATCATCGAGCCGCCGGGGACCAGGTACTCGTATCCGGATCGCCGTCAGGTGATCCTCAAGTGCAACATCCAGGACATGAGCTTCCTGTTCTCCCAGCTGTACAACGCCCTGCTGATCCTCATCTCAACCGTATACGCGGTGAAGACGCGCAAGATCCCGGAGAACTTCAACGAGAGCAAGTTCATCGGCTTCACCATGTACACCACGTGCATCATCTGGCTCGCCTTCGTGCCGATCTACTTCGGCACCGGGAACGCCCACGAGACGCAGATCACGACCCTCTGCGTGGCGATCAGCTTGAGCGCGTCTGTCACCCTGGTCTGCCTCTACTCGCCCAAGGTCTACATCATCGTCTTCCAGCCGGACAAGAATATACGCGGCAAGGTCTGCATGGGCAGCACGTTCAAGAAGCAGGGCAGCAGCGCCGGCGCGTCGTCCATGACGAAATGTGAGGTTGAACTCGTTGGTGATTACGATCTCGTCCCGCGATCCCGAGCTACGTGATCTGACATGTTAATTTCGTAGGATCTTTTTTTCGGGTAAAATGAGCAAAACTATATTGCACACCGCAAAAAACTTTTCTTTTTCTTGGGGACAACAACAATTAATTACTTAATCCTTTTATAAGATATCTATTCGCTCATCTTTATTAGCTATAAATAATTATCAAACATATTATTTGAGCGCTATCAAAACGTATATCGAATATAGGAAATGGAGGATTAATTAACGTAATTAATCCCACATTTTCTCGCTATATCTCGCTAGCGAACAAATAATATGTTTGTTAATTATTATGTAGCAAGGAAATGAAGGATTAATTACGTTAATTAATCCCTTATTTTCTCGCTACATTTGATGCACGTTTTGATAACGCACAAATAATATGTTTGATAATTATTTTAGTTAATAAGATGAGCAAATTGATATTTTAAAAGAATTGGCAGAATTGATATTGAAAAATTTGTTAAAAAGTCTAGAAAAAAGTAGCGAGGAGATTAAAAAGATGATTATGAAGATGATGATAAGATTACAAAGGAGATAAATAGAGGAGCGGTAACGTTAATTTAGACCCCTCAATTCAATCTTGAATGAGTCAATTCAATGAGTTTTGCCTACGAGGTTGATTGTCAGACCGCGCGCGACGCGAGGGTGACGCGGAATAAATAATAATGTAAAAAATAAGAAAGGAGTGGACCTCCCCTTTTCTACAGGACGGCTTGAAAAAAGCCTTGCAATGTAAATCCAGCGCTGAATTCGCCGTTGTATCGAAGAATCCGATGTGACATCCGATCCGAGCCGTCGACGAAGACGACGAATCGCCTCCGCGCCGTGCCGCCGTTCGGCCGCTCTCGCACGAAAAGAAAGTAATCGATACGCGGGAGACGCGACGGCTTGATATTCGATATTAACGCGGCTGTTGTAACGGCCCCGGCCGGAAAATCTGGGCCAATCCGCACGGAGATTCTGAAAGCTTTTAGTTTATTAAATACTTTATTTATAAGCACGCGGCCGTCCGAGAACAGCTCGGCTTTAACGGTCGTTTCACCCTTTACGAGCTCTTTTCAAGTCGATCGATTAATAACGTTAATTTTCCGCGTGAAAATCGTTATTGCTACCGTCTAACCCGTGATTAACCATCGCCCAGCAGCGGCTACGCAATCACGAGGCGGATTACAGGGCGTCCGCGCGCGCGCCCGCTAATGGTCCCCCCCCCCCCCCCGCCCCGGATGATTCGGTCTAAACGGTGCTAAATTATTAACTTAATATGCGCCACCGCCAGTCCTTCAGTCCTTTATTCTCTTGCGAATTTATGGGCGGATTATCCGCGGGAAATTTTAGAAATTTCACGTGTCGCGGCCGGATATCGTACATACGTCTCGCGGCTGCATTCGGAGACGGGGATTACGTAATATCGGTCGTTCTCTCGTTTAAAAAAGCGAATTTTTAAGCTCCCATTTCTTCCCAGCCGTATTAAACTACGACCTCGATGTCACAAGCGTGGAGTCAGGCGAATTTTTCTTCTTCCCTCTTTCTTATTTTGTCGAAATAAATCCAGCCTCTCTTCGATCGCACTCGGCATGTTTCATCGATAAAAACATACTTTGTTTTTTTTTATCATCCCGCATTAGTGTTTTATTATTCCGCGCGTACGATTCAATCTGCGCGCATTAGTCCCACCCTTTCGGAGGAAATGGACCTTGAATTTATGGTTCGAGAATTACATTGCATTTCAACATTTTCGTTAAAAAAATTAACGATTCTGTTAGAAAGTAGAAGCGAGATTTCCGTTTAATCCACTTGATAATAATCGATCAGAATTTCTCAGTTCGTCATCGATTTGCGAGCGGAAGAGCTTCGAGCGCTTTGCGGCACGCAAGGGGAAAAAAACGCGGTCCGCGCGACTTCTCGCTTCTGACGTCATATAATTCGATACGACTGCGGCGTGGTAACGAGCGTTTCCCTTCTTCCCTCGAAAAGATCGGTCTGTTACTGAAATTATTTTATTCGTAATAAAGTTCTTGCCGCCAGCAGCGGAATGTCGCCAACGCAACGGTCGACGCGAAGAAATCCAATTATTTTATCGCGACGGCACGTGTTGACTTGACACTCGAACGGTGGAAGGACCTCTCTCTATCTATCTCTCCACGGCGGAATTCGAGCGTGCGCGACAATAGTTGCTTTCCATTTACATCAAAACTCAGATAATTCTCACTTGTGATGTCATTCTGTCTTTATTATTCATGAATTGCCAAAAAAGATAGAACGACGTCACAAGTGAGAATTATCTGAGTTTTGATGTAAATGGAAAGCACCTAAATGCGTTCCACAGGCGCTCGCAGCCTGACGTTCGCTTCCTGTTTTCCGCCCCATCTCCACCCGGCTACCCAGGTGACTGATGAAGCTTCGATTTTTTATTTTTGCAGACACGGGTTGCGAGTCGGCGAGCGAGAACGTGCCCCTGCAAGGCGCCCTGACCGCGGCGGTGCGGACGTCCGTGGGGGTCACCGAGATCTCGCTAACGTCTAGCACGACCAACAACGAGCAAGTGGCGCAATTGTAGACCACCCCCCTCATCGTGACTACCTGGGGATGCAGCGGCATCCGAAGAGAGATTGAAATTAGCAAATCGCTAATATTGATATTTTAATCTGTTATCGGGGAGACTGATATAATCGAACTGGTATTCGAAGGCGAGGATGCTGAGCGTCTCGCGACGCGGCTGTCGTTCATAGCATATCGAGAAGGAGAGAGATCGTCTTCTCTCAGCGGAGATCATTGGTCGTTATCATGATCGCTGTTGTCGTTATTGTTACTGTTGTCCTTGTGCATAAATTATATATAAATGTATATACACACACACACACACACACACACACACACGTGTGCGGGCGCGCACACAACACGCATTCACACATACGTATAAAAAATGAAGAAACACATATATGTACGTTTACGTGCATTTATCGAGCATGTGTATACCGTGTGACCTACTAATTCTAGCCGAGCACTTTGTGTCTTGCATAATTTCGATAGGAGCGTAAATGTTGATCTTACGTTAATTCGTTTAGCTCCTCGTTTATTTATCGGACATTTAACACGCGCCTCCCTCCACTCCTACCCCCACTCCGCCGCCTCTCCGAGAGCGCTTTCCGAGACGTGATAATCGTACACAATGGACAATAAATAAATGTACTTAAAGCGAGCACAATTATATCTACTATACGGAATATCGAGAATATTAATTGGGAATGCAACTGTTTTCGACTCGAGTGTTTCTTCTCAGCCCCCTCCTGCCCCCCCTTTTCTTACGCATTTTAAAGCGATTTACGAGGCTGATCGAGTGTTTCGGAAATTACGTGAAAATTATCTCGAATGTTTCTCCCGCATTTTGGAAACATATATTACGTATCCTTTCCGCGATACATAAACTAAAGAGAGAGAGAGAGAGAGAGAGAGAGAGAAAGATTCCTCTTATATGTACGAATAACCATCTAATTCTCTTTTCTCCCTTTTTCCTATTACGTCGGTTTCACAGCTTTTTTGAAACGTTTGATCAATTTTGTGAATAACCGAGGAAGAAGAGCGTTATTATTGTACCAAAGAAACAGGAGAGAGAGAGAGAGAAAGAAAAAAATACTAATATCTTTTCTATTGTAACGAGCGCGGCGAGAAAGGGAGATAGATTGGTCCTGGAATAAAACAATTATTGAATGGCGTGTCGGAGCGTGTGATTTATTCCCACCCGTTATCCATCATTCCTGAAAACCGGTATAAATGCGGTACGGGTTCAATTTACCAGACTTACTAGAGAAAGAGTAAACTAGGTGCCCTACATCGTCCTTTCTAAGAAACCAGGTGTAACGATCCGCGCGATCGGCAGACATGAATAACTCGACAATTTCGGCGCCTGTGACGATTTCTTTCTTCAGATATTTATAGGCCTTATTTATGCATTTTTTTGCATCGGTTATCAGATCGAGGGCGGAGTTCACGAGACAAGCGCGGAATCGGTATCTTTTGCACTTATGAAAAATCGGTACTCTAATATTTACTATATTATTCAGCGACTCATGAGATTGCGATAAATATACGTCAAGCGTTTCAAGAACTTTAGAGAAAAGTTCGTTTCGAAACGGAATAAACATCGTCTTAATATAAAACAGCGATCGATGTGTGCATCAGACGGAATCAATGAATAAATAAATGTTGACATTTTCGGTCATCAGGCGGAGATACGCCTATATAATGATGATGTTTGCGAATTTTATACATTTCACCTTTACATTTATGAACCACGCGATTGCTACTCGATCTTGAAACATACCTTTATATCAAGCTGGAGAAATATAATTTCGTTATTAAGTTAAATACAATTATTGTTACATATACAATTTAGTATTGCTGATACTAAATTTATAAGGAATTTACTGCAGCATTTTTCTATATATACATATATATATATATATATACACGAATAAGTATAAATCCTAAAATTCTGCTTTTTTCCTTCAATTTTTCTTCGTTCTCGCCAATATAAGAACAATCAAGTTGCGATTAACTTAACTGGCAAGATTTTGTCTAAAGCGAAAAAAATGTCTAATTGCATGACTTTATTTTAATTTAATTTTTCGCATTGAGCAACAGAAGACTAATAATTCTATCTTTAACGACATATAGTACAGTTATTTTAATCACTCATTAAGTTAATCGGAGCTTTGAAAAAAAATCGTCGCAAGAGAAAAACCTCGGAGTACGTTTAAAACGCTTGCGATTGATTCTTCAGCAATCACACGTACGTCGATCATGCGTAAGCCGATCATGTTCCGTTTCGTCGACTCGAAATTGCATAACGCGCCTCGCTTCGTGCATATAAATACAACCCACGTAGAACATGAAACTCATAATGACGTCATTATTGAGTTTATGTTCTATTATCTGGGGAATAAACACGTTTCTTCGGCCTCGCTCGTGTCACGACACGACACGCGTATGATAACGACCGCCTGTATCATATCGGTGAACACGACAATTCCCGAACTCCCGCGATCCGAGTCGTACTTCGGAGTTTATTACATTTCTCCTCAACCGACCGAACGATTCAGACCAACCAGCTGATGGCTCTTTCCTGGCGAATGTTGACGGCTGTGCGACTGGTAGGTACAAGCATTCGCGACGGTTTGCTGAGTAAAGAGGACTCATTTTCCTTCGGTAAATTTTAACAGAGGCTGCTTTTCTATCGGCTGCCTACGCGACCGATTTTGGTGCTTGCATGCGTTATAATGCGTTAAAAAATGAGTCTTTTTTCCTTTCAATTTCTTCCATTCGGAATCGTTATAATATACAATTATTGTTGAATTAATATACAATTTAGTATTGCGTATTAAGTTTACAAGGAATTTATTGTAACATTGTTCATATATTCTTCCACATATTATCACCAATTAGTTATATAAATCATAAAAGTTTATAATTTCGTTTTTCAATTTCTCTCCTCTAATGCTAAGGGCTACCAAGTTGCAATTAACTTAACCAGCGATTAACTCGACCAGCAAGATTGCTATTCGATCTTGAGACGTAGCCCCTATGTTAAAGAAGAAGAATGTAATTTTATTAATAAGTACACGCATGGAAGAAGCGAAAAGCGATCAAAGTGTAATATTTAATTTGGAGGAAATCTAGTTTCCTCTAATTGTAAGAAGAGAGAACTAACAGTAAAAAGAGAGCGCTTCATTAGAATGCACCACGTGCCGCATCGCTGCTATCAACAAGGCCACATGCCGGGTTGAACTTTGACACCGACATTGACGTTGCGAGTGGTCGCGAAGCGAACCGAGAATGAAGAACGAATAAAGAACGCGTCTCGCTGTCATGTCACCTTTTAAACAAACGATTTTTTTTCGGCCTTGTTCGGCGACCGGTCTTTGTCACGAGAAGATAATTGCGTATCGGTAATCTTAAGTAATCTTCGAACTGCTCGAACTGCAGCAAGTTTAAAAGCAAAAGTCCTTCGTTGACAGAACCTTTCAGAAAACCGGGTGGATAATAAAATCACCTCAACCAATTCTGAGTGAATTTTAGCTGCCATTAAAATTCGTTGTTACTATATACAGTTGCACACTATAATCACTTTTTTAACGTCCAGATTTTTTTTAATTTTTTGGTCCCTAATGACTTTGTTAACGTACTTTCTTCAAAATCGTCGTTGACGAATTTTGACGAAGTGACAGTTACGCCGTTACGATCTTAACGAAAGACGTGATATGACAAAAGTCTTTAACCCTAGAACACCACGTCAAGCGAGTTATTGATAATTGAAAGTACACTGAGTATCGTACACCCAGTGTGATGAAATCGGGACTTTTAGAAAGTGTGGTATTTTATTAATTACAACAATTACATGATGTCTTTGTCTCGCATATTTACGCCATTAATTTTTCAGTATGATTTATCCGCTGCCCTGGGCAATACACTCAGTTAGCAAAACTTGCTAATATATAAATTACTACAATATCTCATAATAATCTACTAATTGCAATTAAAAATTGTAATTATTAGATTATTAGTTAATTAACTCGGTGCTGCATAAGATTATGAACAACATATCTCCGCGATATTAGCGTAACAATAGCTCGTATAAAGGCTGAACGAATTTATCCGTGATTGATTTTTATTAAATTTTGAACATTTTATGCTTGATAATTAACTCTATATTACTCACGTGGAATGTATATTTTATACCTTAATATTATATATATATATATCTCAATTTTTACTAATATTGATTTTTAATCATTTGAACCTCCTAAAATCAATTTTTATGATTCTTTTTAATAATTTACATTATTTACAATTAAATAAAGATCGATAATATTTTGTGTATTTTTTAGATAAAGATAAGCAAGTTCTTCTTGAAGTATGAAACAATTTGTGCAGCATCCAAATGATAAAAAAGTTTGACTTTGTGAATTTAGTAAATTTCTATTAAGTCTGGGATATTTTTTTACAATATTGTGTTATTTATTGTGTTACGCGAAGGTATAGGATTAATTCCAGTGAAATATGTTCTGTTGGCAGTGTAAAGAAATTTTTACTAAGTAAATTTGTTTGAAAACATGTTATATCTCGTTAACGCAAACGGTTTGTTTGTTTATTAAAACAAACGCGGCGTATCCATAGCAAGTGTGTATTGCTGTTACAATAAAATTTTCGCTGGTAGAACGTCGGTATGATAACAAAACTAAATTGGAAAATAGAAAATAAAGAATTCGCTGGTAGAACGTCGGTATGATAACAAAACCAAATTGGAGAGTAAAAAATGACGAAATGAAAAAGCTTTATTACTACTAGAACAAAATAATTTGCGGCTCTATTTTAACAAATAAAATCAATTTTCTCAATAAATACTTTTATCATCTATAATAACTAATAAAATTTGTTATGTATTTATATGAGTTAAATATCTTGCTGTATCGGCAAATCGTTTTTCTCCGTACAATGGCGATAATTGGAAAGTAAACTATACGGCCTTTCTCGGCTGAGGAAACTCGAGAATTATTAACCCAGAACAGTTACCTAAGTTTTTTCTGCGTGAACACACAATCACTTGGGATGTTTTTACATTTAATTAAAAGTCAAAACCCGAGAAAAAATTTTTCATATATTTATATCTAATCATATTTAAAATATGTCCATATTTACTTCCTTTATAATTTTTATTTATATGTATAAAAAACAATAAGATGAATAATTGAACAATAATTAGAAAAATAATTTTTGTGTTATTTTTTTTACAAAAAGTAAAATTGCGATGAGATTATATAGGTAATATTTTATATATAATTATATTTTATACGATTATTACATATTTATGGCTGCATTCCGATATTCACTGTCAGCAACTTTCAGTACTGAAAATCTAAAGTATACATGACGTAAAATATAGATTTGCAGTACTGACAGTGAATATCGGAATGCAGCCTATATATGATTATTATATTCCCTCAAAAAAATAATGCGAAAATTACGTTTTAAATTATTTTTTAATTCTTCTTATCATTTTGTGTGTACTAACAGATTATACAAGAGAAAGAAAACATATATAGACATATTTTATATATAATTATAAATTCTCAGTCAGTGAAGAAAACTATTGTGACTGAGAGTCTTATTTTTTCGCTGTTGGGGTGTAAAAACCATTCCAAGTGACTGTTCCCAGGATTAAAGAAAGAGCTAATGTAATACAGGTGGAACAGCTCGTACAAACGAATAAAGCAATAAATCAACAGAGCAAGAAAATACCTTACTGCAAATAAAACAAATTTACTATTTTCGAATCGATCAAAGTTATAGTATACACCGTTTATCCTGATCTATCCCAATCGGTTTACAAATCAAGAGAACACCTCAATTTTATTATATATATTTTAATTGTTATTTCTAGTGTTTATCTTTATTCTCTTTTACATTATTTTGCCAATTTGCAAGACATCACTTTTTTTGTTTTCTCTCTTCCCCTTGCCTTCTAACTTGCATTGTTCTTTTTGTGGATTGCTGAATATCGTTGAGACATAACGGGACCACGAGACATAATGGTCGATAATTTTTTACAGAGATGTTGCCATGTAATGTAATATTTCAAAATTACTCTTAGATGTCTCTAACTAGGTGTTATATTATCAGTCGTCATATTATTTTTAATTGGAAGATATGCTACTGATTATTTATAATGCGTCCACTATATGCTCTCTGCGACTGAATACGTTATGCTTTGATACATTTGCATATATGGCAAGCAATTCTATTTTTTATTACCGTAAGTACATTTACGTTATTAAACAATCTTTTCTTGTCAATTTAGTAAAGTACCTGTGCAAATATCGATTATCTGTGATGATTTATATTACCTAACATAAACTTATACATTTAAGAGCATAAACGAACATTTTACGGAGCATTCGTCCACGAGGCATAGAGTTTGGGGGGTGCGCTGTGATCAGCTGTGATGCGTTGTGGCTGTGGGATTATGCGTTGTGGAGAAGTGAAGTTAACGATTCTTCGAGCATGTAACCATTCTATAAGACTCTTCATAATTGTGTAGAGTTAATAGAAACAACGTACGGTAAATGATAATTAAAGATAACATTGAAGTGATACGTATTAGTTATTTGTGTAACAAGTGCTGTAAGATGGAAATTGGACGTGCGGAGTGGACGTACGAGCCGGAGGCGAGTGCAATCACCCGCACGTCCAATTTTCAACTTAACACGTGTTACACACCCTATTTTATATTACAAGTGCGTGGAAAGTGGTCTATCACGCGCGCGTCGCGCGCGGAATGGCCACTTTCCACGCACGTGTGACATAAAATAATTTCTACTATATTAATTGGTACTGTAATACTATTATTATTTCTATAGATGGTTCGAAATTATATAAAAAAAACCGAGAGGCAGAAGTGGAATAAACAGTCGATAAATAGAGCTATATCTGTTGTCGTCGAGGGAAAAATGGGCTATCGTAAAGCTTCTCTTAAGTTTAAAGTTCCTAAAACGACTCTAGAACGATACGTTAAAAAACTGAAAAACAGTGGTGACAAAGTAATCAAAGTTAGAAAACCGGGCTCTTTTAAAGCAGTGTTTACCGAAGGACAAAAAAATGAGCTCTGTAAATTTATAGTTAACATATGGAACAAAGATTTTTCGGCTTAACTTTCACAGAACTGAGGTCATATGGAGGCTTTTCAACTGGCCGAGAGGAATGGTTTCAATCCTAAATCCTATAGTGGGCATTTAAAAAAAATGTTCGAATGCAATATCCATTTGATTTCTTTATTTTTAATATGTGTTAAAATTATCATTTAAATGACGTAAGAACAGTAACTTCTGCTGAACGAGGGAAAACAGTCATAGCGGTAGTTGGCATATCTGCCACAGGTAAATATGTCATCTATAATGTTTATATTTCCAAGGAAACGAATGCAACAAGAATTCCAAACTGGTTCACCCCCAAGATCATGGGTGGAAGTTCATCCTTCTGGACGGATAAATAAAAATCTTTTTTTTGCCTTAGTTCAAGAAAAATTCATAGATTTTGCAAAACCTTTTAAAAATTTCTCCTGTGTTGCTCCTCTTTGACGAATATAAAAGCCATACTAAAAACCTTGATGTAATTGATCTAGCTTGATGTGATATACATGTGCCTTGTGTTCTTAAAATATTTTTTTTTATGTGCTGTATCATCAGTATATATGTTATGCTGTGCAATATATTAATATCACAAATTATTACACATTTTTATTTTTATTTTTATTTTAATAATATTCATTTATATTTTAATAAGAAAAATGTATATATATATATATATTGTAATAAGAAAAGTATTATTAATAAATTATTAATCAATAGTGTAATAATAGATACATATTCCTACATATATTGTGTATTCTAATCAGTCACTTTTAAGAAGTTTTGGACATTAATATTTGAGAAAAAACGAGTTTTGTGAGATACATCGCACTATACCTCATATAAAAAGCATAAAGTTAAATCACGCTTTTAATAAAACAATAATTTCGTCCTTTTCAACTATTCTTTCGCAGTAAAACTTCTGTTTTTCTTATAGTGAATATTCCAAAGAATATTTTGATGCAAAACTAAGTTCATTTATTTATAATTTTTAATATGTTTGAAACTTGTTTAAACAGAGTTTTTATTATGCCCTGGGTTCCGCTATATATCTTACTTATCTTGTCGCGCCCAACATCGTGATTGTTATTACTATTTTTATTATCGGCGGAACTTTTGTTTGCGTAGGCTGAACGATCGCGCTACTCGATACTACGTCGACTTTTGTCTGCAAGCTCGTTGCGCTCCGGTAGAGTGATACCCTTCAATTTGGCGGACATCGGCGAGGGAATTCGAGACGTCACAGTGAAGGAATGGTACATGAAAAGTTTGATATAATCTGTAGAAGAATGTCTTTTCACGATGCACAACGGTATACATTAAAAGATACTTTTATCCGAATTCGCGGAATCGTTCGAGTTTGAATTTCAAGTTTATTCGAACGAAGTAGTGGTCCCTTAGGAAACAAATACCTTCAATTTATGATATCTAAATTATTTGGTATCACAAGTGTTTCTAATTCAAATTACAAAAGCTTTCTTTAATTCCGATATACAAATTACTTGGTATCAAGAACTTTTTTAAATTTTAATTGAGTAGTATAGTATATTGTGCACCAAAAAGAGAAGGCTACGTTTTTCAGAATGTGAAGTTTATTGCCCGAGCCGAAGGCGAGGGCGGCAACCACATATGAGTCTGAAAAGCCTTCGATCCATGGTCCACACGATATTTTTCACAACAACTTAATGAAAATGTTCGATTTTTAAATGCCTAGTAAAGTGTGTGCGTTTGGTGTTTGATTCATATAGCTTGTACGTGCGTTAATCGTTAAATAGAAAAAGAAAAAAATAGTAACGCGGGGTTCATATGGGCAAAGCTCCGGTGTGGAGATGTGGGGGGTGAAAGCCTTTCATCTATTACAAAATTAAAATTTGAATGATAATAAAATTTCAAAAAGAAAAATATAAATAATTTCAATTTTTGCACTAAATTTGATTGACAATTTGGAATTTAATTTAGAGATATTATGGCCTAGTTTACACCGATCTCTTGATACGCGTATCAAATAGTATATTTGAACTGATCAGCCAATAATCAGCCTTATTTACTAGTTATTTACTATTTAATACGCGTATCAAGTGATCGGTGTAAACTAGGCCTATGTAAATAGGTACGATTAGTTATCTTATTATTCAGTGACTTTATTAAGAACTAGCTGGTTACCCGGGCTTCGCCCGGGAGTCGTTTTTCTTGAAACGACTTCATTTGTGTTTCAATATCCTTATTGTGGACAACCATAAGGAGTGTGTCAGGTGGTTGATTTAAAGACGGTAGTTTAACTTTTCTGCATGAATAACACATTCTAGGTGCTTAAGTTTTAAACTTTTTTACTTGACAATGATCACATATTGCATTTATTTTCCCAATTATTACACTCGGATAAAATTGATATTCGTAATTTGAATCATAACTATAAATGCCTTTAATTTCCAATCGGACCGCATAAATGTTGTTATCTTATTATTCAGAGTGACTTTATTAAGAAAAAAGAATTCCAAATCGATAGTTTTAAATAATTTTTGAAGTAGTAATAATTTTTTTATTCATTGAAAGTAATATAGTTTTCACATCAATGAAATAGTATATAGGTCATGTATTTTCCTGCTACTTTACTTTCTGCCCGCTACGTCATCAATTTTCTTCTCTATAAGGCAGGAAAGTAAACCCAGCGTGAAATTGGCCCCTTTCGCCTCGCTCTACAGGCATCGAAAATCGGACTTTCAGGAGGTGTTGTGAAAAAGCTTTTTTAATTTTGATATCTAACAATAAGTTATATTTGATATTACAAGTTTTTTAAATCTTAATTTCAGAAACCTCTTTAATTTTTAATAAATTAATTGTCTGAGTTAATTCAGCATTTTTTAAATAATCCAAAATATTTTTGTCTTCATTCTGAATTCGGCGAAATCCTTTTAGGTACGTGAAACCGGGAGACCGAGTGAACCAGTTTGACAAGATCTGTGACGTGGAGAGTGACAAAGCCGCAGTAACGATCACGAGTCGGTACGATGGTTTCGTCAAGACTCTCCACTACAAGGTAGACGACGTCGCGATGGTCGGCTCGGCATTGTGTGATATTGAGATAGAGGACGATTCGAAAGACGAATCTACGAGCGAAAGAGACGACGCGGAAGAAACCGTAAGGAGCGCCGAGAATCAAGAGACTGATAAAGCTAAGGAGAGAGAAATAGATGAAGAGACTGACAATTCGAAGAATAAGGAGACGGAAATAGACGAAAAGATTTACATTTGGGAGAATAAAAAGAGAGAAATGGATGAAGTCAGTCAGATGGGGCAGTCAGAGGACATCTTGGGGAAGGTATTGGCAACCCCGGCGGTGAGGAGGATAGCTAAAGAGAACAACATAAAGTTAAAGGACGTAACAGCGACTGGCAAGGAAGGAAGAGTGCTCAAAGAGGACATCCTGGCACATTTACAGAAAATTTCCGCGGATTCGAAAGTTAGAACAGAAGTTAAAACGGAAGCTCTGTCGTTCACGAATGTGACGGGAAAGACTGTCGGCCTTAAAGGATACTCGAAACACATGTGGAAAACTATGACGAAATCTTTGGTGAGTCACCGAGACGCTGAAAAAACAGTTACCTAGTAGCAACTTCTTTTATTCGTGAAGTCTAAAAAATCCTAGAATCTTTCTTTTGTAGACACTAAATTCTATTTGTAATATTCTGGGCTTTAATTCTCCCTTTCTCTCTTCTTTCTGTCTGATTTTGAATTCTTCAAATTTCTAATTGTCCCTACAATTAATATCTTCCAATAAATTTTTCTTGTATTTTTATAAACAAACGAGTCATTCATCAGAATGTAACTTTATTTTTACCACAAATTTCTCGCAGAGCATACCACACTTCGTCTACAGCGACGAGTGCAACGTAAACCGAGTGATACGCTATCGAAACGAAGTGAAGGACTCTCTGAGGGAACGGGGCGTCTCTCTGACTCTTTTGCCGTTTTTCGTAAAAGCGGCCTCGCTGGCGTTAGAACAGTGCCCCAAGTTAAATGCCTGGCTCGACGAGGAAAGCCAAACGCTGATGGTCCTGGACAATCACAACATCGGCATTGCCATGGACACTCCGGAGGGCCTGGTGGTACCGAACATCAAGAACGTGCAAAATCTCAGCGTTCACGCGATCGCGCGGGAACTCAACAGACTTCAGGAGTGCGGTAGCAAGTCGTCGATTCCGCTCGCTGATCTGACCGGCACGACTTTTACGTTGTCCAACATAGGCGTGGTGAGTGCGCGCACATCAGAAGACAAAAAAATCATGATCGAGATAAATTGTAAATTAACCCTTCGTATCTAAGCTTTTTTTTAGGACCCTCGGAGTATAAACGTGAGTTATTCATGTTCGACGCTATTTTTTCCTACCTTAAAGTATTTTTAAAAAATTTGAAAAAATTCAGATTTCATCACAAAACATTGTAGTTGACGATTTTATGGTCATTCTATTAAATAAACATAGTTTATTTAATATTTTCTGGCAGGCTTGTGAGTTTTACAGTTACAAGCAGATATCATTTTGATATCTGACGCCGTTGACCCACGTTTACACACGGAGGGTTAATATAAATTGTGTCTGTGGCGGTTTTCTGCAACGCGGTTTCGCTAAATGCAATCTTTAACGATGTTAAATTTTATTTCCCTTTTAAAATCACGTGTCCAAAGCTTTGATTTCTTTCCTGCCACTTTCTTTTCTTTTCTTCTTTTTCTAAATATTCATGCATTTTTATCTAGGTCGGGGGAACGTACACGAAGCCGGTGATCTTGCCGCCTCAAGTGATAATCGGTGCATTCGGAAAGGCGCAGAAGCTGCCACGATTCGATGACAAGGGGAATGTAGTTTCGGCCAGCATAATGTCGGTCAGCTGGTCCGCGGATCATCGCGTCGTCGATGGCGTAACTGTGGCAAAGTTCTCCAATCTGTGGAAGCAGTACGTGGAGAATCCGGCGTATCTGCTGATCGACGCGTGAAGCTGTCTACATTATACTCTCTAAAAGTCGAAGAGTGAAATATTACTAAAATCGAGTGAAATGCAAGTCTAACGGAAAGTGAAAAATGAGCCTGTGCATTTCGAGTGATTCGCCACT